GAGTGCATACGTACGTATGTGCATAAGTATATCTAATTATGCCATAAAAGCCTCTTGGAAACAGCAACTCTGGGTGGTTACTTAGACTCCAGTAGAGCACTATACTTTTACACCAGCTGCTAAATCTGATTTTCCTCCTGTCTTGCTCTCCAGAGGATATTACCAATTTCAGCATTTTTGGAAATAATTGGTTACTCTCCAAGCGGGGAGCGCGAACGCGGGATCCCATCTGCCAACCCCGCGCTACGGGAAGCGTGTGATGGGATACCTCTTGGCGGCTCCCTGCTGCCCATCCCATCCTCACGCTTATTGTACTACTCACACTCCCGGAGGTCGACATTACAAATAACCAACAAATATTCTTCCCCTTGAAGGACGTGCAGCGCCTCCAGCTCGGGAGGGTGCTCCCGGGGACGACAAGGGCCGAGCGAGCCAGTTTTGCTCTGCAGCATCCCTCCTTTTGTCTCCCCATCCAGCCGCCCCAGCTCTTGGCGTTGGCGTTCCCGTGATGCCAAGGTCGAGCCTCCTCCCAGGCGCTGGGCATGCCCCGGCCCCCCCTTATCCGCCCCCCGAAGTCTGAGCAGCAAAGCACCCTGGTTAGTCAAACCACTCCTCTGTGCTCCTCTCATGTAACAATAGAAGATTTATGTTTTTAAGTTTGAATTACTACTATATTTAACAGGACATTTTTTTAACTGATTAAAATCCAGACCTTGGGTTCCTCTCCAGTGAACTTTATTCTTTTCCTTCCTTCTTTCCTTTCTTCCTTCCTTCCTTTTCTTTTCCTTTCAGCATCCATATGTCATTCGTTTTTAATTGTGTGGACTGCATGTTCCGTGTGTCCTGTAGCAGCTTTGAAAGCCTCATTTCTAGTTATACTGCGGGTCTGTAGACGGGCGTTCCCCCCTGCTCCCTTTGCTTTAAACGCTCTTCTGAGTTGCTGAGGGATTCGCCTCTGCTTTGCTGTTGGTACCCTTTAAATATTTAATATCGCTTGGGCTGTAAGGATGGGAATTTCTTTCTCTTATTTCCATTTCTAGGCCACTCTTCTGTGGGCTGTTCAAATAAATATGTGGATCAATTCCCTGGGAGTTTACCCCTTCACCTAGTAGGTACAGATTCACTGCAGAGTATAATCTGGACATACAAACCCAGAAAGCCTTTGGGGGCACATATTCATTTCAGAGTTTACAAAGGCGAGTGGTCCAAGTAAGTACACCTGTAAAAACAGATTTGAAAAGCAATTAGAAAATGAACCACAGTTGATAGAAAAAACAGGGGGGGAAAAAAAATAAATTTAGGGGAGCGAATCTTGTTCTGGAGCTGTGGCCAGCGGAAAGGCTAGTCTCCAGCTACAAGGCGTTGCTCCTGGGTTTCCTCTGATCTCGAGTGTCCTCTGCTGCAGAAATTGTTGAGGTGTTTGGGCCAGCCACCCTCAGACTGTCATTAATTTTGTGATTTTTCTTTTAAATTCTTCCCCTCTCTGACAGTTTTTCTTTGCCCTGGACTGCTGAAAGGAGTATACCAGAGCGAACACTTATTTGAATCTGACCACCAGTCTGGTGCCTGGTGCAAGGACCCTCTGCAGGCGTCCGACAAGATCTACTATATGCCCTGGACACCATACCGGACGGACACACTGACGGAGTACTCCTCCAAGGACGACTTCATCGCTGGGAGGCCAACCACCACCTACAAACTCCCCCACCGGGTGGACGGCACGGGATTCGTGGTGTACGACGGGGCTTTGTTCTTCAACAAGGAGCGCACTAGGAACATCGTCAAGTTTGACTTGCGGACAAGGATAAAGAGCGGGGAGGCTATCATAGCTAATGCAAATTACCATGACACCTCTCCCTACCGCTGGGGAGGCAAGTCTGATATAGACCTGGCCGTGGATGAGAACGGGCTCTGGGTAATCTATGCAACAGAACAAAATAATGGCAAAATAGTCATTAGCCAGTTAAACCCTTACACGTTAAGGATTGAAGGGACGTGGGATACTGCCTATGACAAGAGGTCGGCTTCTAACGCCTTCATGATCTGTGGGATTTTATACGTGGTGAAGTCTGTGTATGAAGATGATGATAATGAAGCCACAGGGAATAAAATAGACTACATCTATAACACTGACCAAAGCAAGGATAGCATGGTGGATGTGCCCTTTCCAAACTCTTACCAGTACATCGCTGCTGTGGATTATAATCCCCGGGACAACCTCCTTTATGTATGGAACAACTATCACGTCGTGAAGTATTCCTTGGATTTTGGCCCGCTGGACAGCAGAGCAGGTAAGGGTTTCAGTACTGAGCCAAAATCTGAATCGGGCTGTCTATTTTTCTTGAAAATGGCCTGTAAAATTGAAGTACGCTCCTGTCTTACTGAAATGCCTGTGTCTGTAAATTAAGCCCCACCACAAGACCAATGGTGGATATTCAGGATTTTCAGACATTAATATGTGCAGAAGACTTTTTTTTTTATCTTGGTTTAGAATGAAGTAGAGAAAGGAGTGTGCTACCCATAACTTGGAACAGTCTCCAAATGTCCACGCTCTTGTTCGCATCATGGGGTTAGCAACAGTTTTTTTCTCCTTAATTGAATTTTCCTCCGTATGTCACATCATCTTCCTTTCTGCTGGAATTTTAGCAAAACAAAGAGCGGAAGATGCTGTTGCTGCAAACAGCTGAGGGAAAGCTGCTAGCCGGTCTAAATGACTTAATTAAATTAAGCTGGAGGAGTTTGAGCTGTTTAGGGAAGCTGCTTCTAGTTGTGTTGAGTGTGGACCCACAGGTGTGTGTCTAGAGTCAGGAGGAGAATAGGCAACAAAATCTCCCAAGAAATTGTTGGTTTCTTTTCTTTAAAGTTGTTCTTTTTTTAAAAGCATTTAATGACTTACTATGACTTAATATATTTTCTCTAAGAGAGGAGCATCTGTTCTCTGGAGGTTTCCTTGCTTTTCCATATTTTTTTCCTGTTAGAAATTATGCCGTTAATTACTTAGCTGGGTACGTTCACTTAAGTTTATTAACTTCTTAATTGTTTTGCAAGTATTGTGTTCACAGTTGCCACTTTATTACCAACATGGCTTAGTCTAGGTTGTGGTCAAACTCATTTGACAGTGCAGGAATTTACAAACAACATTTGCTCAGCCTTTTTCAGATGGTTTCTGCTGTACCTGATGTAGTCACAGTTATCAGGTGGTGGACGGTGTGTTTGAGAAAGGCTGAAAAAGGAAGGGGAATTACTGTAATTTGGATAGTAAGCTATTTGGTTAGTTAAAGTGGTTGTTTCAAAACATTTTTTTATTATTATTAATAAGAAAGACTTGGAAGTGGATGAGTATATTCAGGGCTTCAGATTGCAAAAGAGAAGTCAAGAGTTTTCAGTTACTGAGCTTTTCTTTTTTTTCTCTTCCTGTGTGCAGCCAGTTATTTATCTAGAAGAAATGCTGAAAGAAACTGAGGATATGATAATCTGGGGAGGGCTGGAATAAAAGTAGTAAAATGGCAGTGAATTTCCCAATTTTACACAAAAAAGTAAGGATGAGGAGAAGGAAACCTTGAAGAGGCAGGTGAACAAAACAGAGTGACTGTTAAGAGAGGAGCAGGCACATTTTCAGTGATGTTGACCTCTGCAAGATCTCAGATGAGCAAAAAATGAAGTAATACTTTTCATTCTCCCGACTTAATGATGAGCATGTCCTTTTGGAGTGGTGGAGGGAAGCAGAGCAATTTGTGAGTTATTGGTTATCCCCGAGGAGTGAAAATCAATTGCATCCCTTCTGTTTCACAGGGTTTCTCTCCTTTTCAGTGAATCGTTTCCAGGTATTACAGCAGGTTCTCTGCTGCCGCTTTTTCACGTGGTAACCATTGTCAGTAATAGCATCTTTAATTAACAAAAAAAAGCCATAATCAGTGAAAAACCCAAATTTAGTACTTTTGTATAAAAAAAGGAAGTGATTCTCTCCTTTTTCCCCAATCTAAGCTGGTGAGGTGGGAGAGCAGGTGAAAACAGCAAGTCTGTGAGGTGCAAGGGTTTGATTTGTCCCCGTGTCACTGTGGCTGGGGTTTGAAGCCCCTTTGCTTTCACTCGGGTTTGGATGAGAATTGAAAATCCCCAGTGCCTGAAATGGAAAGCTGAAGCCACTTTTGGCTTTGGGTGGTGGACACGAGAGGGTTAAGCTGGTGCCAGGCAATCTATTGAGCGTTTCTTTCATGCAATTTTGGATAGCTTTGTAATGTGTGCGCAAAGCTGGATTTTACACATGTTTCTCTTCTCTGAAAATTGCTGGGATTTCCTGTAAGGCAGAAATGCATAAAGATCCCATTACCCCACTATTTTACGGGTTTACGGGGCTTTTGAGAGGACTGCTCTGACAGCAAGTGGTATTCTCGATGAGACGGCTCCAATGGGCCAAGGCACTTCAAAGCAAAGAAAAATCCCTTTGCAAAGGCAGTTGACTGCTCCATTACCTGCACAACCTGATCAGTGGAAATGTCCTTTTACTGGTCAAACAGCAGCCCTGATTTTGAATTGAATAAGTGAGCAAACGCTTGCTTGACACGACGTTTCTTTCCACACTAGACCAGGTCTGGGTGACTCCTCCTTTTTGGAAGTTCAGGATCCAGTGCAACACATTTTATGGTTGGCGCCAAATTGCTTTCTATATATATTAAATATATGGCTGGATTAAACCCCTCGTGGCTTCTCCATCAAAGAGCAGAACAGGAGCCCATGTAGCCCTAGGGAAGCAGTGAAGACCCAGGATATTTCATAGAATCACAGAAGGGTTTGGGTTGGAAGGGACCTTAAAGATCATCGAATTCCAACCCTCCTGCCATGGCCAGGGACACCTTACACTAGACCAGGTTGCTCGGTATTTGTATTTGGTTATTTAGTGATGTATTTTTTACAAAGAGTGGCTTGTGGATATGTTTTTTCCTCTCTTCCAAAATCACCCATGTTTTTCAGTTTGTTGAGGCAGTATTACCGTAGGGTTACAGTTTGAGTGGCAAAATATGTAAACAATATCTGCTTAATTAGAAAATAAAAGAAAGATTGTAAAATTGATGGGTTGAACAAAATGGTTGTTAAAAAACAATTAAGGGTGAAGTTTTAGGAGCAGAGCTGTTAAAACCAAAAATTGGTCGTAACAAGGGAAGTGATATATGTAGCTACCTAAATATCCAGTAACGTATTTGAAACATACTTGAAGTCTCTGCTATCAGACATTTTAAGGATATCTAAAATAAAAAACAGGTGCTGAGGGCTCCGGTTCACTTTGTCAAACGTTTTCAGTCTTTTCCCAAACCATCCAGGGAAAATGGGCAGAGGCAGGAGTCTCTTGGCTTATAGGAAAGGCAGGGATGATATCCACTCCTTCACAGTGATTAAACATTTTCTGGGACTTTAATTAAAAGGTCTGTTTGTGCACGTGGGTTTGGTACATATTTGAACTCTTCGCTGTTGCAGAGCTTCTCTCACCTGCTGTTCGGGGGAAAAAAAAAATAAAAATGGGCTTTTACTCCTTGGAGTAAATGAGTATCAAAACCTGGAGTTTCTGTGCTCGGCTTCTGTAGCAGCTGGAGGTACCAGGGAAGGGAAATATGCTGATGTCTTAAGCGAGGCACAAAGCTGGATTCAGCTGATCTCGAAGCAATTCAGGGCTCTTGATTGAATTAAAACCAATTGTTCATTTTTTCTCAAAAATGGCAAAAGCTGCATTTTTCAAGATTTGCCCCACTCAGGTTTTTGTGTTTTGGGGGTTTTTTTGTTGTTTTTGTGTGGGGTTTTTTGGGGGGTTTTTTTGTTGTTTTTTTTTCCTTCTGCCTGGGGTTGTTTTCAGTTGCCCCAAATTGAAAGGAAACGCTCCTCAGTGCCTGCAAATCCCAGGAAACCTGGCATTAATGTCTACCTTCGAGCAGTGAACTTGAAGACACCAAAAGGCTTTGAAGCATATTTTCTTTGAGCTGTTTGGCCTCTAAATTAGTTTTCTGGAGGATGGTTCATTATAAAACGCTCTTGAGTTTTTGGGTTATTTTCTTTGTACCTGCTTTTGAGTTTTTTAATTTGAAGTGATAGTGAGAATGGCTCTGCAGCTCTAGAAGTGTTTTCCATTGAATTCTTCAAAAAGTTGAACCCAGAAAAGTGTTCAGATTTTTTTTTTTTTTTGTGTGTGCCCTCCGGACATGTGCAGAGGGGGAAACCAAAGGTTGTATCAGCAGAATGAAAAAATTTGAGGCTTTGAGCAACCTGGTCTAGTGGAGGGTGTCCCTGCCCATGGCAGGAGGTTGGAACTCAATGATCTTTAAGGTCCCTTCCAACCCAAACCCTTCTGTGATTCTATGATTTTTCCACAACCTAATCAGTCTTTAATATTCACCAGAGTTACCCATTTTAATCATCACCCACTTGTGATACAGTCTGCGTAAACAAATTCAAGAAAATATCAACAAATCCTCCTCTCAAAAAAGGTGAAGTGCTCCCATCCCGCTTCCCGATGCCCCGCTGCATACAAACATGGCTTTGCTCCTCTGCGTCTCCCTGGGCTGTCACAGCTCCCGGTAGGGGTACCTGGGCAGCTGAGAGGTCAGGAGAAGAAAGTTTTATCTTTTAAATGCCTGAGATGCCCCATGCAGGGGCTCAGGATATTCTGGCTGAGCATTTAGACCAGGGGTAGGTACTGGTGCCTGGCTGTGAAGCGGTCCTGGGAAGGACTTGCACCAGGATGAGGATCCTGTACGTCTGGCACTTGGATGTCCTGGCAGCTGGTCCCCGGTGACATAGGAAATACAGGTTTCCTACTTCTGAGGAGGCATTTGGTTTTTGCTGTTTGTGTCCAGGAGACCCAGGCATTACAATATTGGGTGTTTAATAGAAATATGAAGTTAATAAAGATGCCCAATACGTAAGGAAGACAGTGATATGATCTAGGACTGCTAATACAGCCTCGTTGTGCTGGAGTGGCCTCCAGGTATTGCATATTAACGCTGCGGACTGCCAGTCTGGTAATGAAATGTGATATGAAGCTGCCGTTCATATCCAGTGATATTTTAAAAACCTGAGAGAGGGCGCATGTAAAATTGGTACCCTCCACTTTGGTGTTAAATATTGCGGGGTGATCTCATGACATGAGATCGCAACCATTTTATTCTGTGAGGGTGGTTGGGTTTTTTTTTTTTTATTCCTAAAGCAGTTTTACAACGCAGATAAGGTGAACCCTCTGTCCTTATAATATGCTAATTAAGTGCATTTGTGTCTTGGGTAAAAGATGTGGCAGTATGGTGATGAA